GACATATTAACACTCCCCGCTGGTTCCCTTATCCCCCTCTCCATTCTGCTGGGAGTGTTTGTCCCAGTTTTTACCTTTGGTACCCAATCCTCTCCATCCAGGTTCTAACAGCTTTTTCTTGTCCTGTATAATCCATCTCTTATCTCCATGGTTCAATTATTTCACTTGATCATTGACCCTATATCTGTGCTACTCCATGCTTTATATTCTATAGAGTTGGTTTGACCTGTTTTTCGTAACTTGGTCGGACCGTCATGAAGACCTTGTGGAACGTACTTGATCCCTTGTCCTCTGTCACATTATTCGCGATTTACAGCATTGGATCATTGGCTGGGTACATTCCAAATGGTTGGCAATGCTAATAAATTTATCGCATAAATGCGGCAAATGTGAGCAGAAGTATATTTTTAAAAGAAAAAGAAAAATCACCCTATGAATTAAAGAACACCATACTTTGCATAAACATGGATGCAAAAAGATCCGAAATAACAGATCTCATTGCACGGACGGAATACAAAATCGTATGGAAGTCAACGGAACGGCTTGCTGCATAAAGTGATAATACAAGAAAACGCAAGATACGAGAGTCTATCGATATGCTGATTGAAAGAAATTTAATAAACATGATATTTGAAGGAGGCAGGATTGGTAAAAACTATGCATATTGCTCAAGCAAACTCGGAGATCAGGGAACAGCAAGATCAGCAAAAGAGACGATCAGCTCAAGTTAAAATTTTAAACATGAGGAAGATAAATTACAAGGCCACAGAAGAACAATAAGAAATCAGGAGACTTCGGCTCTGAGCCTACTCGAAATAAATATAATCACAACATTTGGGGATTGGCACAAAATACTAATACATAGGAGGTTACAGACTTGGAATTATGGAGAGAAGCACAGCATGTGGCGGCGATAAGAGATAATTAGCTAAATGTATTCGTGTTTGAGCATAGACGTGCTCCGTGCAGTAAAGGCTGACCATGGTAATTACTTGGTGCATAGTCGAACAGTGATAGGGGGATCTATAACTTCAAGCTAGTTTCCCATTAAGCTTGAGAATCCAGACTTTGGAGGTCTGTTCAATGAGGCGGAAGAATGCGCGCTATCAAAAGTTTAAGGCAGAATGTGGGAAATAACTCATCGAGTAGCATAGCTATGCTAGCAGTGGTCCAGTGAACTCCCTGAACGAGGGCAATAAGGGACGGATCCTAAGGGGTAAGAGGTAGACCCATGAAACTGAGGGGAAGAGGAATCCATACTAATAGGGCAGATTCGAACTAATATTTTAGGCATAGGTAGGCATGAGGGAGCCAGTGGGGAATATAAATAGGTCTCACTAAATTCGCTCAAAGATATACGTTAGAACTGGCCTTAAATATGCAAGTAAGAAATTGTGAGCTCACTCACGATGCCGTCAAAACTTCTAGGAATGTACCAATTCCATGGTACGACTGGAATTATCTTGCATTCTATGGACTTTGGACAAGGTGCTTTTCTAGGTCTCTATGACAGTACTTCCAAGTTGAGAGCAAAGTCAAAGAACTTCCATACTAAACGAGATTGCGACCATACTAAAGGCCTCATTATCTTGGTCTTCATTCCTTTGATTAGCATTTACTTTTTACTTGTCTTTTTATCGGAACCGCCTTGTTTTACCTTCATCTTATCAGCTCTTTTTGTCTCAAGTTATTTTTATGGCTTTTCAGTCAAATTAGCTCACTTTACTATATGGCTTATTAAATCCATCAGCAAATTTATGCATGCTTCCGTCATCTTACTATTCACGAAGCTTGTATTCTACAAATTAGGCTTAAGTTATTTGCAGTAGTGTCTATTTGCTATGGGTTACATATATATGTTGCTTGATAAATGAAAGAAAATTATTGTTCACCCTATCCAGTGCTTATTATTTGCGAAACTTTGTTTAAGTAAAGGAACGCGATCTTTGGCTAATATATATCCCCATTATAACTGTCTTCTGTTATAGAATTTGGAACCGGGTCGAGTCAACCAAAGCAGGTGTTCTGAGTGCCACAATATCGTAGGCGTACACTTTGATAACTTCCTCCTGAGTCAAGTTTCTTCTAATAATCTTAAATGTATTTCCTTCCTATGATATATGATCATTTTATATTTATATATATATATATATGACACACTCTATTCCTATGCATATGCTGTGTTCCCCTTCCTCTTGATTCAT